CAGCACATCCACCCATTTGACTGAGACCTACGTGAGCCAGCATGTCTGGGGTGGGGAGGGAGCCCAGCCAAGCACAAGAGGGGACAAGGCTGCAATGTACAATGCTGGCCAGTCCTCAGCCAGCACAATGATCCCATAGGCCAGGAGTTCTCAATCTTTTTCTTTCTGAGGCCCTAGTGACGGGGCATGCTTGCCCCACACCAATACTGCAAAGGTTAAATCTACTCTTTGGGCTGAGGAGGCCACCACCCTTGGCCCTGCTGGGTGTGTTCCATCTGTAGACCAGGTATAAAAGGGAGCAGCCCAGCTCATTTGGGGCTGACTGCTGAGGAGGGAGGACGCCCGCTGGAGGCTCCAGCCCTGGAACTGCTGAGGCCTCAGAAGGAAGAAGCCGGAGATGCTGAGACACAGGCAAATGCCCAAGTTCCTGCATATGCCCAAGGAGTGACAAAGCTGCTGAGAGCCGCACAGGCTGAGGAGCCTATGGACTTCGGAGATGCCAGGACGACTCCACCAGGGACAGGATAGGAAATAGGTCAGGGAGACTAGGCAGTGTACCAAGTGTTGTCAGTGTGTTTTGGTTGGATTCCTCACTGACTCAGTGGCGAGCATACTTGCCACTGTCAGGGCCCTGAGCTGGGACCTGGAGCAGGGAGGGCACGAGTCCCCCTTCCCAGTTTCCACCCCCCTCAGGTGGCAGCCCACTCCCTTGACCAGCCTACTGAAGAGGGCCATTATATTGACTCTGGCCACACAGTCCTGCTGATTTGGGCCACAAGGACACGCAGTCCTGACGGACGGCAGCCATATTGATTTTTACCCTTAGGCAAAGCTGTCCCAAGATAAAGGGTGATTGTATAGATTCAACTGCGGGGCCATAATTATCCTCACTCCTTCCCAAGAAGGGATGGGTCACACTTGCCCCACGACAGGGTCCCCTAACATGCTATAAAAACTCCACGGACCTCTGTGCCATAACAACAGTTTTTCTGCATATAAAAGCCGGGGCTGCCATTAGAGGGTAGCAAGCAGGGCAATTACCCAAGGCCCCGTGCCACAGGGGGCCTTCGAAGCTCAGCTGCTCTGGCTTACGCTTCAGGCACGGGTGGTGGGGCTCAGGGGACTGGGGCTTTGGCTTTCCGTCCTGGGCCCCGGTGCGTCAAATGCTGGCCTTGCATTGAGATTCTATGAAACCCATTCGTGGCCCACCAGGGGGCCTCAGATCCCTAGTTGAGAACTGCTGGCAGAGGCTACACTAAGTTCTGATAGGGGGTGTTTCAGGCTTCAGCAGCCCCAAAACCAAGGAAACAGAAAAGTGACTTTGTTCTAAAGAGTCTCAGAAAATGTTGAGCCCAATTCTCCCCTCACACGGGTGTAACTCTCTGGGCTTCAAGGAGTTACTCCTTATTTTACACCAGTGTGCGGGGAGTGGGCCCAGTGTATCTCCAAATCCCCAGAAGTTACGGATACATTTTCCCTTCTTAACTCGAAGTATGTTGTTGTTCACTGTCCATATTCCTAACCACAGGACAGCTGCACCAACGCCCGGAACAGGCAGCCGTAGAGGAAGTTTCCTATCCTATCCCTGCAATGTCCCCCCAGCCATCCTGGAGGGATGACCACTAGGAAGAAGAAAGCAGTTCTCGTTTTCAGTCCTTGGGAGCTCAGTTGAAAATGATCAAGCAAGAGCCTTATGACGGTGGCTTGGGCAACGTTGCCATTTTTAAAAGCAAAATCCAACTCACAGGTGGTATCATCCGGCAGGACTTAATGGAGGTGCTGAATCCCTCAGACTGCATGTCGGGATAATCCCCCCGTTTCAGAAAGAACTGCTGTCCCTGGAAGTTGGGACGTTCATAGAGCATGAAGCAGCCATTTTCTACGCGGA